CCCCCCCCTTCATTTGTAACCATTGGAATTGCGGAACGTTTTGTTTTTAAGCAGCAAAATGAGTATATGATGGGACAATACCCGCCATTTTGGGGGTACTGTCTTCCAACTCACGTTTGAGAATCTATAGACAGTCTAAACAATGTGCATAGCGACTTTTGAAAGTTGTAACCATAAATCGCTACTTCGTGAATAAAGCCCTGGTCAAACGCAGTCTGAGAGTTGATGAGAGTTTGCAAGCAAGTTTGATACGAGTTTGTATAAGAGTTTTCTCAATTCTCGTGGCCTGACCAAACGAAAACAAGGCTACGTTCATGCTAGATGGGATAGCTTTCGGTATAGCGGCGCGAAAAAACACGATACGGAATGTACAACTTTCAGAATTTGAGTGAAACAACCATGGGCGTACGGGACCAGTCTTATTTGGGGGGCACAGTATATTTTGCCCGAACAGGCAAACTTAACATTTTACAGGTCACCAAAAAATTTTGTCGGAACATACCAAAAAATCTTTTCGGGACATAACGAAAAAAATTTTCCGGACCGTCCCAAAAACTTGCCACTTTCCCTAACATCAAAAACTATACAAAAATTTTTTCACTGCATATCATATTTTTCTGAAATTTTAATGTTTTGCCCGAATTCACATTGATTTTTGCCCGACCGCAGACATTTTGGGGGGGCACGTGCCCCCCCCCCCGGCCCATACGCCCATGGAAACAACATCTCTCCGTTGCAATTAACGCATGCTATCACCTCTGCATGAAAATAGCGTTCCTAAAACTTAAAATGTACGGATTAAGGGCTAGGTGTTTTTTTCACGTCGCTACAGGAAGCTATCCGGTACAGTGTAAACGTATTTACCGCACGTAGCGACCAGCAAAACCTGTCATCAACTCTCATCAAATTTGAACCAGCCCAGAGTCGATGAGATTGAAGAGTACGTGAAAGTCGATGAGAGATGGCTGTCAAACGCCAGCAGAATGGACCATTTGCATTATAGACTAAATTTTGATCTAGACAACAATTTTATCACAGCTTGAAAGAGCATCACAAAATTAGTAATATTTCAAAGTTTCGTTGCGAAATGTTGTAAAATGCGGATCTTATAGCCCTGCGAAATTTGCAATTTTCAGTCATTTTGTATTACAAACGGGAAATTGATGCCCCAACACCCGATTGGGCTGTCAATTTCGCACGCGTAAAAATGACTGAAAAACGGCAAACTTCGCAAGGCTATATTATCCGCATTTTACAACATTTCGCAACGAAACTTTGGAATATTACTAATTTTGTGATGCTCTTTCAAGCTGTGATGAAATTGTTGTCTAGATCAAAATTTAGTCTATAATGCAAATGGTCCATTGCAACTCTCATCAATGACCTAGCCGTACCCTAGCGGAAGAAGTCATTTCGCTGACCTCAGAATGACATTTCGTCAAAACTTTTTTCTTCAAGATAAGTTTAAAATCAAACGTGGAGTAGGGTTTACCCTGGATTCCAGAGCCTTCGACAGTAAGTAATAAATTGAAACGTCACGAAGGCTCTGGTTCAACGGGGAGATTCTTTGATTAAACCGCGCCAATCACAAAACAGAATTAGTGGTTTTAGTACAGAATCTGCACTAATTCTGTTTTGTGATTGGCGCGGTTTAATCAAAGAATCTCCCCGTTGAACCAGAGCCTTCGCGACGTTTCAATTTATTATTTACTGTCGAAGGCTCTGGAATCCAGGGTAAGTAGGGTTAGGTTAGGGTTATGATCAGGGTTTTGAAGGGTTAGGGTTGGTGTTTGGAATAGGGTTAGTGGAAGTAAAACCGTTGCTTTGTTACGTTTTGTCATTCTTTGAGACCAGCGAAATAACCTCTTCCATACCTAGCCTGCTCGCAGCCCGAAATTTCGTTCAAAGGAAAAAGGTGGGGTCTGCTGAGCAGGCTATCAATGACCGAGCCAGTTTAGAAGTTTACTCTAAAATACGCGATTCTGATTGGTTAATCGTCGCACTAACAATAGCGGCCGTTTAAATTCTAGCTCTAACCAAAGTCTTTAAATTAGTCATATAGCAGTACACTGCCACATGCATTAGTTTGTGAATAATAAAAACTGAAATGTTAAAACTAAATGCTTTCGCGTTTGACAGTAAAAAATCTTCGTAGCACGAATACTTGTAGAATGCTTACAAAAACTATCACCAACCCTTGGCTGAGCGACCACCATTGAACGCGGGCATTTAATGATTCAGCCGCAATCCGACCATTTGCCTCTCGAATTCTATGATGATTTTGGTACTGTTCCATAACCGCCAAAGCTTCGTGGATAGAGTAGGCCGTAGTCTCCATTTGTGTCAGCGCAGTTTGCGTGGAAGCGCCGGGAAAACTTTCATCGTCGCCTTTTCCTTTTACAAAATCAAAGTAGACCAGATTCGTCTGGAAAACGCTGTCGTACACGTTGCTAAAACAGAAACGGTACACGCCGGGGCTTGTCGAGACAAAGCGGAATAAATCATAGTCCTTTTTTTCCGCCTTGTAAATTAGCTGTCCTTGTGGGGATTCGATGAAGGTATCTAGTTGAGGATTCGCGCCCGTTATAGGAGCATATTCAAGCGAACACGACACATTTGTTTCTATATTGTCGTAGAAACATTCGTAGCCCGTTAGCTGGACTTGTAAGTGACGGCCGTAAACAGAGCATGAACAAATAAAAAAGACAGTAAGATACTTGGTAATGAATGTTTTTGTGTCCATGTTATAATACACTAGTCGAGTGAATACTTCCAGTTACTTTGGTCTGCCCAAGACCAACGAACCGATACAATTTTCTTTCAAAATAGGATTCTTTTTTGAGTTTTTAACGAGCTGTTTTTATCGGTAATACACGATGCTAATTTCTATAATAGATTTGTTTAAGTTGAGCTTGTGAACAATAGCACCTGTGTGTAATTTATGTTAATTTATGAGCAAAGACAACGTGGCGGTTGCCAGTGAATGCATTGTGTGGCACTGTCAACAACAGGTGTTCAGTACTGCGAGTGGAGCCTTGCTAACTGTTAAATCAAATTCGGGAGCTGTTCAACGTGTGAAATTCGAAACATAACTCACAAGAGATGGCTAATCTGAATCAAAGCATTTCGCAGAAAATAATTGAGGTACAGAATTTGCTAGCGCAAAAACCCCAGGGATGTGGATGAGCCGAACCAAACGCTACGACATGGCTTGTTAAGTGATCTGGACAAGTTTATGTCACGATGGGTTCAACCGATGACGAGGCTTGACAACTACCAAGCACTTCGTGGCAAAATTACCAATCTAAGAGACGAAAATAACACATGGTTTTACATGGGATATACAGGAAAAGAACCGGGTAGTTACTACGTGTCGAATAAAGAACCCAAAAATCAGCGCTTCACTGCCGCTAAAACTCAGGCTCAAATTCAACCTAATCATCAGCTTGGCAAGAGCCACACATACTACACACATTTTGACAATACGGATGAAGAAAGTGAAGAGGATGAAGAAAGTGAAGAGGATGAAGAAAGTGAAGAGGATGGCGAATATGCGTTAATCCAAGAATTCCGTGCTTCCCCTCGCTGTCTTAATGTAGCTAACGGATTAAAAAAACATTCTGGTATTGTTTATGTACTTACCTATACAGCTCAGCCTCAGCAGAACATTCAATAAATATGAAGTGTAGTTTGCAAAAGAGGTATTGAGGATTGAAGTACTTTCAAAGTCATAGAGACGTAGCACTACCATGGACCATGAACTAGAACTAAGCTACCGTGCTTTCGGTAGTTGTGATTTCGCTACAGCTGCGTCGTGACGTCATAACTTTTTTGATTTTACTGTGTGACTTCTCCTAGTTTCTTAGTGACATAACATTTTATACACATTAATTGACAATTTGAAATTATATGTGCTTGTTTATTATAATTATCCTTTCTATCGGCAGTTGCTTGTTACTTTATTTGGCTTCTAGCATTCAGAGATCGCGCAGCGATCAGTTATGATTGAGGCAACGTCAATCTCGCAAGCCAAGCTCTCGAGATAACGTGGCGTTATACCCATCCTCATTCCCAAGGCCTCTCGCGACCATCATAGGCCCTGGGACACATGCCGAACCGAAAGTGCAAGAAAACTTACAGTAGTTTCTAAAGCGCATGCTCTTGGCTTGATGAGACGCTTCAGCAGCCGTAACAACTTTCACAGTGAAGTACTACGAAGAACGAAGTATTTGTGTTGACATGCTTTGATAGATTAATTTCGCCTAGCTCAACTTCTGGGTTAAACATATAGGTCTTTAGTCGTCTCACCAGAGCCTAATTTTCAGCGAGTGACCGAGTGAAAATGGCTCTGGGGACGAGAATGGGCGTGACCATTGTGTTCATTCTCGTACCCAGAGCCCTTCTTGCGCGCGGTGCAACGAGGGGCTCTGGCCAAATCCAAAACCGGATACCATAAAAACATGGTAAAAGAATATATCTGGTATTAGAACAATAACCTTCGTTGTAGCCAATCAGATGGCAGTTTGATATGGATTTGGCCAGAGCCCCTCGTCGCGCTCCGTTGAACGCGCGTAAGATGGCTCTGGGTACGAGAATGCATTGTGTGACATTGTCATAATTATCAACTATATTAATCAACTAACAGGTAATCAATAGATAGGATCGGCAGGCTCTTATTTTGGCACATATTAGTGACACATATAGATCAGTGCCCGGCAGTTATCACAGGAAATCATGATATTTTAACCATTGTGGTAGTCTTAATCTCTTGTAAAAGCAAATAAAATTGAAAGACGTACAAATTAATTTTCTTACTCTTTTTTCACTTCATCAGTGTCATCATTTATGAAGTTCTTGCTTTCTGCTCAAAATTTCGTTTATTTGCGGAGTACAGAAACACAGCAACACTGCCTGACTGACAGCCCACAATTGTAATAATTTATTAATCAATTTTTCGTAACCAACGTAACAAAACTGTACTTATCAATATTTGATAATATTGTTCTTTTAAACAAATGTTAAAAATCTACAGCCATCTATTTTAGGTAAAATTACACAGTAGCTACATATATACAGCGAATTCAAAAAAGGTTAATGGGAGCACGAGTTTCAAGCTTGTGAATGAATTGTTCTCATAAGGAGATATTTACCATGCCCCCAAGAAATGAGCCCCATATATGATTTCTAAACTGATTAAATGACGCTCCCATTATGCTTTTAAGGTTTAGAAAGGACAACCTTTTTCGAGTGGCTGTATATCAGCAGTGATTGTTCACTATGTCTATAGTCTTACACTACTATACGGCTGATGTAACAGAAACTACGTATAATGCATTAATGGCAACTATTATATAATATTCTCTGAATTGTCCAATTCTTACAACTAAACGTGAAATCAACTGTAGTTTTCAAGTCAATGGTGACAATTTAAACTTTTTGGCATTTTCAAGGCTGTGCAGTTGCAGTGAAATCGCCATTAATCTGCACCGGGAATTTGTGTTTGAACAGCCGCGACTTCACACTTGGTATTAAACGATCCACATGGATAATTTCCATTTTGCTTCGGTTTCAAACAAATGAAACAGAACTCCTGATCGCATCGACATTTCATGTGTTTGCAAGCTTTAATGTGCTCGATCAGCAGGCCACATTTGATGCAAGCTCGCCTGGATGGACAGCCAGCAACACCAACGATTTCTTTTTTAGGGCATTCCTGGAGGATTTTCAGACGTGGGTCGTGTCCAGTACAGTCAGCATTTCCTAGAAGTGGAATGATAATTTATTTGATATCATTTACACCGCAGTGGTTGCATGCCATTCATGATATAGGCCTACATACACTGTTAGTGACAAACCTAAGCTGGGGTGAGGAAACCCGGAGCATCAGGAGAAAACCCCTCGAAAAGCACAGAGAAGTTCTACAATCAAACACTTTATCATACATGAACTTGCATTTACAGTTCGCCAACTGGCCGCAGGTTTGATTCCTGCCATTTATAGGGCCTAATGTCGCAACCGTTCCTGGTTTAAAAATTATAATAGGTCTTAAATTGTGTATATATATATATGCTCACTTGGATTATTCACCAAACCCAGCATTAGTAAAATTCAATCCAAGGAAATGCAAAAAATCCGCTATCAAGTTCCCCCTCAAACTCGAAAATCTATACTGATATACATGAACTTGCGGTTACAGATCAAAAACTGGCCTCTGCATGTATAGCTCAGTTGGTAGAGCGCTGCATCAGAATCGCAGGGCCGATCGATTCCTGCATATATATATATATATATATATATATATATATATATATATATATATATATATATATATATATATATATATAGTATATATATATATATATATATATATATATATATATATATATATATATATATATATATATATATATATATATATATATATATATATATATATATATATATATATACACAGTAGAACCCCATTAACTCGAACTTCTAAGGGAAGCGAAAAATTGTTCGAGTTAGCGGGGGTCCGTTTATTATGTTAATAATAAACATAAGGTATAGTCGTTTTATTATTCATCATTATTCATTGTGAGCCCTAACGTTCTTGCCTTAGGGTTAGGCTGACCTAAGCCTATAGTATTAAACTGCAGACAAAGGGTCTTCATTTGAAACGTCGAAATTCTCCTTATATTTTTCAGTTAGCTGCATCCCTAACAACGAAAGCTTGTTTAAGTTAAATAGTCCCTATCCAATTTAAGGTTGGGTGGCAGTGTTTTTCTCTTTCAGGTTAGTTTCTCTTCGGTACCAACCCAATGCAGGTATAATAATGAACACTCCGTAATTTCTTTTAACTGTAACTAATATACCTACCACATTTATTATTTGAGACTGCGCCTTGCCATTCGTGCAAACAGAACCAACAAAAATCAAACCCTTTCTTTTCTTGCAGCGTGCAAAATGGACACCGTACACAACGATCTTTTTTTCTTTTTCTTTCACAAAACGACTTGCATTTGGGGCACTCCTGGATTCCTATTGCCTTCCTTAGGTAATTCTCTGATAACTTCTTTTCGAATTCTCGTTTTTCATCTTCTGTGAGCACCGCAAAACGGCGGACATCCACATAGTCCCATTCCTTGCCACAGTAGTTGTTGTTATCTGGGCCAAGGTAGGGACAATTGAAACGGAATTTGCCACCACTCAACAGACTGCGACAGTATGCAGTCAGAGATTCTGGACCTAAGTGTAGAACAGTAGAACATATAAGACCCTTGTCAAATGTGAATGGGAGTTGGCAAGTGAGAGTTTGCATGAGAGTTTCATCAAGCCCCAGTCAAACGAGAACACGAGTTGTACGAGAGTGGAATGGATATTATCACGCATACAAGCCAAAGGAGCAAAAACTCCTAACAACTCTCATGAACTGAATTTGAACCCAGTCAAAAACATGACGCTGCAACTCTCATAAACTCTCATTCTCGTTTGACCGGGGTTTTAATCAGTGATAAATCCTCTGAGGGTTTATTTATTTCAGACAGATTCAGGGCTGTGGCTTAATTATTGGAGAGAGAGATGCTTCATGGAGGAGAGGGGCCTAATGGAGAGGAGTGGGCTTGTTAATAAAGCCAAAGTGCAAAATATTTTCAACATTTCATTCCTTCCAACAAATATTATGATTCAGCCGCTTCAATGACAAAATGAAAACATTTTAACATGAACAATAAAAATAAATCGAATATTACATATGTGTTCCTTAGATGTGAATTTGGAGGGGAGCTCAGGGCCGCCAAGAGGGGTGGCGGCAGGGGGGGGGGCAGGGGAGGGCAAATTGCCCTGCACCCCACCTTAGCAAATTGGTCAGAGCATTTTTGAAATTGAGGGCCCCACATGCAGTCTAGCTAAGGTCTAGTTGGGTGACTAACCTGGGTCTGCTTAAAAATAATGATATCATGAGGCCCCCAGAGTAGATTTGCCCCAGACCCTGCAAATTCTCTCGGCAGCCCTGGGGCAGCTTAATAGAGAGGGGGTACAGTTTAATGTCATATTACGTGTTAGCCTGCAAATAGATCCTTCACATAAATGTCAAAACAATGCGACTGGATATGGTATGGAGAACTGACTAAACAGTGGGATTTTCAAAACAATGAAAAGAGAGCATGGTAATATTGTTATTCTAGCAAGAGGCCCATATCACATGCTTGCCCTTACTAATAGCATGTCCGCATGGCATTTTAGCTCTGAGGTTCTCTGGATCATCATCCCAGGTTATCATATCTGGTTCACACGTCAACTCAACATCACTATCCAGTTGTTTCACATTTTCATCCATTCCACCATTGAGTCGCAACACCAAGTAAAGGGTTGAAAGATTCTCAACATTATAATGTGACAAATGTTTTCCTTCCTCTAACTGTTTTCCACTATAGATCAATCTGAGTTCACCAACTGGGATCCCAGAGTGTTCACTGACTTTTCTGAACAAGTCATCTGTCATAGCATCCTGACAGAGAAGTACAGAGGTTTAATTAGGAGCCTAAGTCTACCTAGAGACTCACCACCTGGAAAATCTACCTTGATGGATTGTAGCAAGTGTTCTGTTCTTGGTGTGATTAGTTAACCTTTGTTTGGCAAGGGAGGGTTCTATTTCTTTTCATACTTTATTTCTTTCTTGCACATGCAGGTAATTAGAATCAACTAGGGATGGACCGATATCGATACCAAATACTCGATACTATCGATACCAGGATTTTGAAGAAAAGTATCGATACTGGCAAGAAATATCGATGTTTCGATATTTCTGTGCCTGCGATATTTTTTCATTTTGGTCAGCGGCATCATCATGAAAATCGGATACCAAAGTTCATTTTCTATGGTGCTTAATGGTCCACGGGCAGGATGGGAGTTTCTGGCTATGTTGGTTGCAATCACTGATATATATTATTCAATGTTTATATTGTTAGCATTGTTGCCGTTGTTAATGATTAAAAATAGTCTTTTAATGCCTTGTTCGAGTTAGGAAAATATTGATATTTGGTATCGATATTTGGGGTGATTGGGGCCCTCTCTGGGGAAATTGGGACCCCTTTCCTTGACTTTTCTTTGGGGTGTTACACCTCCCACGCACACACTCAGGCAAGGTGAAGAAATAGAAACTCACTTTGTGTATGCGGTACACAGTATGTTTTCCTTGCAAACCATTGATGAACAATTGAATCTCGTCTGCGTCTGGCATGTTTCCTGGCAAGACTTAGCCAAATGCTATAATTTTTAATGAGAACAAACAATGAATTGTCCTAGTTCAGTTTATATATGAAGAAAAAACATTCTTTTGTTTTAAGCAGGGGCAAAACTACTGGGGGGGGGGGAGGGTGACACCCCCACAGTCTCTATCTCATCAGGTATATCAAAAACAATTTCATTGAGCACATTTTGAAAATATTTGAGTGTCTCAGATTGAAAAGTAATGGTTGTAGGAAAAATTTTGATAAATTTACAAAAATATTATTGAAAATTTTTACAAATTACAGTAAATTATTATGAAAGTTAGTGACCCCCCCCCGCACCAACAATTTTGGGAAAAGAAATGCAACTGAAATGCTTGTCTGTCAGGAACGACTTTGGCCACGCCCTTTTGGTCGGGCAAAACAAACTCCCCCCCAACCGTAATACTTTTGGTTTCGTCTCTGGCTTTAGGAGGAGAGCATTATGGCCATTCAACCACATTATGAAAGTCCGTCCTTTCACTTTGGACTGTTATTTGTGAGCGTCAACGTGCGTGGGCCATTCCATTTAATGTACACCCCCCCCCCCTATGGACGAGGTCAATAAAATTTGAACCCCTAAGAAAAAAGATCAAAGTGACGACACAAACACCCCCCCTTGCCTTACCCCTCAGAAAAAACGCAAAGATCAAAGGATGCTGATGCACACAACCCCTCAGAAACGGCTTTTTCAACCCCCCTCAGAAATTCTCGTCCATAGGGGGGGGGGGGGGGGT